TGATTGGCAGGGTCAAGTGGCCACTGTTTAGAGGGCAAGGAGCCCTGTTAATTGGATCTTTGCCAAGCAAAATTGCACATGAGAATTTTTCTAGTGAGCTTGTTCGAGTCCTTCTAAACAGCCTGTTCCCTGGTGTGAGCCTCCAGAACTGCAGCAGAGAGAATGTGCAACAAAGAGCCCCCTTGCAGGCTCACCCCCAACTCTCCTGGCAAATTGCACCTCCCAACACTGGGGAGAAGGAGGCAGTGGGGGAGACAGATCTTGTTTAAATAACCTTTTGCCTGAACTGAATATGGATAGGCCTGCAAAATATTCTGAACGCTTTTTCTTTTCTTTTTGAGACGGAGTCTCACTCTTGCAGGCTGCAGTGCAATGGCATGATCTGGCTCACTGCAACTTCTGCCTCCTGGGTTCAAGCAGTTCTTCTGCCTCAGCCTCCCGAGTAGCTGGGACTACAGGTGCACGCCACTATGCCAGCTAATTTTTGTATTTTTAATAGAGATGGGGTTTTACCATATTTACCAGGCTGGCTTCGATCTCCTGATCTCCTGATCCACCCGTCTCGGCCTCCCAACGTGCCGGGATTACAGGCGTGAGCCACTGTGCTCGGCCTCCCTGAACACTTTTCTGGCAGATTTTTGTCATGTGTTCCAGATGATTTCTTCGAATCAGGAATATTTTATCAAGCGAACACCTATACATCTTCTGTTTCTGCTCTCAGTTGTATGGTGATTGGAGACTAGTGCTCTGGTTTCTGTGCAAGGTAAAGTTTAAGGCCTATACCCAAGGAATATGAAGCAATGCTTATTAGCAGAAGTGTACAGTATGAAGCCTGCAGAAAGGTCCACAGGCCTTGGCAAGGGAGAATGAAGCGCCCATTCCTGAAGCTGAGCCTGGAGGACCCAGCTAAAGAGGGGCTGACCAGAATGCATCTGCAGAAAAGGGGGTGTGTTATGGGCTGACTCGTGTCCCTCCAAAATTCCTATGTTGAAGTCCTAATTTCTAGTATCTTAGAATGTGGCTATATTTGCAGATAGAAACTTTAATGAGGTAACCAGGCAAAAACGAAGTCATTAGATGGGCCTTAATCCAGTCCGACTGGTCTCTTTCTACAAAGAGGGAATTAGGGCTGGGTGCGGTGCCTCATGCCTGTAATCCCAGCACTTTGGGAGGCCAAGGCCAGTGGATCACTTGAGGCCAGGAGTTCGAGACCAGCCTGGCCAAGATGGTGAAACCCCTTCTCTACTAAAATACAAAAATTAGCCGGGTGTGATGGTAGGCACCCGTAGTCCCAGCTATTAGGGAGGCTGAGGCAGGAAAAACACTTGAACCTGGGAGGCAGTGGTTGCAGGGAGCCAAGATCTTGCCATTACACTCCAGCCTGGGCAACAGAGCGAGACTCCACCTCAAAAACAAATAAAATAAAAATAAAAAGGAAAAATTAGGACACGGGAACACACAGTGAAGACCATGAGAACACATAGGGAGAAGCTGGCCACTACAAGCCCAGGAGAGAGGCCTCAGAAGAAACCAACCTTAATCTTGGACTTCCAGCCTCCGGAACTGAGGAAATAAATTTCTGCTGTTTGGGCCATCCAGTTTGTGGTTCTTTGTTATGGAAGCCCTAGCAAACTAAGGCAGGGTGCAACCAAAAACCTAGAGTGATGTCCCGGAGAGAGCCCGCCCTCTGAGCTCTCCACCCACAGAATGAAACCTCATTAGCACCACTCCTCAGCGTGGCTGGGCTAGTTTTCTAGGGCTCTGGCATACCTTTTCCTGCTATTGTGTCATCCAACAATGACTAGACGTTCTTCTTTAAACTGATCTTAATAATTTGTCTTCACCTACTGAACATGTGTACAAATTTGTCAAGCCTTCTGTTAGTTACTTATCCAAGCCCCTCCTATTTCTCCCTTTAAAGTTCACCATGTAAGTCCCTTCCTTTAATCTGTAAATTTAAATTGCTAATGCTTTACTTGTCTAGCTGTTCTTTATAAAGCAGCATTTGGGGGTGTTTATCTTTTCAACTTAGAAAAGTGAAGGGATTGATTGTTGAATTCTTGTTTTCTGCTGCTCTCTGAGCTCTGCTGAGCGTGCGTACAAACTAGCTTAGGGGCAGCAAATACAGGGGCTTTATATTTGGAGGGGCTCTATGTAGGGGTATGGAAATACTCTTTGTGGTCCAGAAAATATTTCAGAGCACAATTCATTGCCAGACTGATGTCTTTAAGTGAACACAAAAGACAAAGAGGACCAGGGGAAGAAAAATAATTCAATGGATAAGTAAATAACTCAATGGGTTAGTATCTCCATGGAGACCATAAAATGCATCATCTCTATGGAGACCCTCATAATCTCCTTCTGGACTTATGGTAGTGTATAACCTGTTGTAATTATACATTGGGGGTAGAGGGAAAGTGACAAGAGGAAAAGGATGAGGATGATCCTTTTCTTTCCTTGGTGGAAATGATAGCTATTTGCCACTCTAAGATTAATCAATTATGGTATTGTAAACATCCAAAGTTAGGATTCTGGGAAACCAGTTAATTAGGATGGGGTAAGAGGCGCCTTCGGATCTAATGTTTATATGCCCAAAACTGAACTGGGTATCTGACATGCATTAATAGTTGGTATTCAAAAAAGGTGTGAATGAATGAAGGTAATAAGCTAATTGCACCGGATCTGATGCTGGGCTCAGGCCCTGTCCATCATCTCCATTCTGCAAAAACAAAGAAGGTAGAGACCTACTGCCCTGGGGAATACTAGGTACTGCCTGCAAACCGCCAAGGAGAACCAGTAACTCCCTTGTTGCTTCCTTCCTTCCTTTTGATGAGAATGGTGTTCAACAGTATGAACACGGTCAAAGAAGGAAATAAGGGTCAGCCACGGAGAGGAGATAAACAGGGTTTGGGGCCACAGACCAGCTGATGGATGCAAGGCAGTGTGTCCAGAGAAGTTATATCCTGCTGGAACCTCCTTGTTCTGAGCCTCACTAGCCTTGGGACACAAACTAGGATTCTGGTTTCTTTTTTTATACCCAGAGTATTATGAGCCTTTGTCCCCCATCTGCTGTAGCTTACTTGCTGGCAATTAGCCCACTGCGAAGTGATTTCTGAGCATTGACCATGGCAATGCCTCCGATCAGCATCCAGAGGTTTCTGACCATTCATCCCATTTCTTCCTCTTTATCTTGGTGCCAGGTTACTGCCCCGACTCTGTTGACCCTAGAAGAGTATTTTTACTGTCCCTTTACTGTATTTAGACATGTTTAGATACACAAATATTTACCACTGTGTTCTAATTGCCTCTAGTATTCAGTACAGTCGAATGCTGTTCAGGTTTGTGGCCTAGGTGCAATAAGCCATATCATATAGCCTAGGTGTGTATGTAGCGGGCTATGCCACCTAGCTTTGTGTAAGTACACTCTTTGATGCTCACATGACAAAATCAACTAAGGACACACTTCTCACAATGTATACCCATTGTTCAGCACTGCACGACTGTGTGAGTGTATACCACATACATTAACATATTTATAGTAGTTTGAGATCAGACTATGTAGAGTTTTGTATCCAGCATTTTCTTTAATAATATATAATGAAAACATTTTTCCTATTACCAGATATTCAAAGACCTCATTTTAAATGACTACCTAGTACTCACTGTATGAAAATAATATTATTTACTTAACTACTGTGAGACTTTTCGGCAGTTCCCAGCTTCCCCAGGATTCCAAACATCACTTGGCCAGTCTTTTTTTTTTTTTTTTTGAGTCGGAGTTTCACTCACGTTACCCAGGCTGGAGTGCAATGGCGTGATCTCGGCTCACCGCAACCTCCGCCTCCTGGGTTCAGGCAATTCTCCTGCCTCAGCCTCCTGAGTAGCTGGGATTACAGGCACGCGCCACCATGCCCAGCTAATTTTTTGTAGTTTTAGTAGAGACGGGGTTTCACCGTGTTGACCAGGATGGTCTCGATCTCTTGACCTCTTGATCCACCCGCCTCGGCCTCCCAAAGTGCTGGGATTACAGGCTTGAGCCACCGCGCCCGGCCCCTTGGCCAGTCTTTTTACCCGCATTCTTCCACACTTCTGGTTGCTGCCTTAGAATATGCTCCTTTAGGTAGAATTCCTGGCTGCGCTAGAGAGTATCAACATTTTAAAGATTCACATTCTTGTTTGTTTTAAAGATTCACATTCTTGTTTGTTCTGCTATTCATCTCTTCTGGTATCCATTTTTTAGGCGTACAAAATTTACACATGATTTTAAGTTCCTGGATATCAGGGTTCGTACTTATCCAAATCTTGTATTTCCTTGCAGTCCTACTTAGGGGTGGCAGGGCTCCTCAAGATGGGTATACCAGGGACAGCCATGAAGGAATTCTAAGGTATTCCCGAGGACTCCGAGGAAAAACACGCATCTCTCCCAAGGGAAAGAAGGGATCAGATGTTAGCATCCTACTCCTTGTCCGATCCAGAGCACCCGGGGAAAATCATCACTCCTTACCTTGGTGGAGGCCTTTTAGAGCTCTCCACGGAGGCCTGTACACTCTTGGGGACTCACTTTGTCTGCCTAACTCACCAGCCAGGGTGCAAAATGGCCACTTAGGGGCATGAATGAGGTGCCAGCGTCCCTACTATCTAAGGAGGAGCGAGTCATCTCTTGGGTGACGGCCGCTCTACCTGTTTGCAACTGTAATAAGCCACTTCCTGGAGGCCTAGGGGCCCGCTCCATCCAGACTTTTCTCCTCAGCAGCTGGAGAGAAGGTGGCTGGAAGGAGGAGACAGAGATGGTGCTGAGTGGACCCGGAGCTTCCGAGGCAGGGGAAAGAGAGGGAGAGGGTTCAAAGTCCAGACCCGCTTTCCTTCCCTTCCTCCCTGCCCTCTGCACCCCATTTTCCCCTTCCCGGGGGTGGGTGCCCCCGACTTGTTGCGGAGCCCAGAGATGGTAGGGTTCAGCCTCCTCATAGTCTCGCTAAATTCCCAGCCGTTTTCGGTAACCAAAAGCGCTAGGAATTAACCTCTCTCGGCCTCTCCCCTTTCGGTTTCCTTCTCGGGTTGGCTGGAAACTTCACCCAGACACCGGAGCAGCTCTGGCGTCCTGGCACCGGCCACCGGCTGAGGCCCCGCGGGGCGCTCTCCCGCCCGAGGTGCCCCCGACCCCGACCCTGCCCTCAGGGGCTGGCCCGGGGCGCGTTTTCCCAGGGGACGCCATAAAAGGGTGGGCTGGCTGGCGGGAAGCGGGGGCCGGGCGGCCCAGGTTCACCCCGGCGCCGGCCTGGTGGGCACATGGCCAGCCTCCGGCCCCAACTCCGTCCCTCCCGGCGCGCCGAGGCCCCCTCCCGGCCGCGCCGCCCACCCGCCCGCGGGGGCCTGGGAGCGCCGCGGGAGCCGCTGGGACCCGGGCCGGGCCGGCAGGCGGCGGCTGCGGCCTAGGGCTCCCGCGCGGCCACCGGCCTCTCCCCTCCCCCTCCCGGAAGCGCGGGGCGGGGTCCCCGGCCGGGCCGCGGGGGCGGGCGCGGGGGCCGGGCCGGGGCGGGACGCGTTCGGCGCTCGCGGGCTCGGCGGGCTGTGCGCGCCCACTCCCGCTCCAGCGGCCAGAGCGCGCGGGCCCAGGCCCGGCTCCAGCCGAGCAGCAGCAGCGGCGGCGGCGGCAGTTCGCGCGAGGCCCCGCGCCCCCCGCAGCCCCTCCCCGGCGCCGTGCATGGAGACGCAGCCAGCTGCTCGCCGCTGAGCCCCGCCGCCCGGCCGGGACCCGCCGGGGCTGGGGTGGCCTCGGGCTCCGGCCGGCCCTGCCGCCCGAGGGCTGCGCGCGGCCCGCGGGCCTCGCTGCCCGCGCGGATCGCTGCGGCCCGGCCGTCCCGTCCCAGGAAGTGGAGGTCCCGAGCGCCATGGCTCACTCCCCAGTGCAGTCGGGCCTGCCCGGCATGCAGGTAGGCGGGCGCGGGCCGCAGGGCCGGGATGCGCGGCCGGGCCGGGGCGGAAGCGGCAACTTGGCGGCGTCCCCACGGTCCCCCCACGCTCAGCCGGCCAGGGTCGCGCCGGAGCCTGGCTCCCAGCGCGCCCAGCTGGGCGGAGGGTCCGAGTCCGAACCCCGGGCGTCCCTGCCAGCTCCGGCGTGTGCGTGCAAGGGCCGTGGGGACCGCGGCCTGGGTCCGGATGTGGGGGTGCGGACGCTCGCCCTCCCCGCTCCCCGCGCCCCAACACTCCCCCGGAGCTGCAGGCCCGGGCGGCCCTGTCCCCAGGAGAAGTGAGGCGGAGCGATGCCCTTGGAGGCCCCGCCAGGTCCCCGGGCCCTGCGAGCGGGCCGGGTTGACGGAGGCCCCAGGACGCGCCCCCCTGGGCTCGTCCCCCACCCTCGGGCGGGCGGGAGACCTGGTCAGGGCGGGGACGGGGAGCGCGCCTGGACTCGTCCGGGCCCGGGGCGGAGGAGGCAGGGCGGAGTGGACGAAGGTGTAACCACCAGTTTCACTTGCTGCGGCTTTGCCCTGAGCCCCCGTGCGCCTGCGGAGCGGGGGAAAGTGCGAGCTGCAAACCTTCTGGAAGGAGGAATCCCCCGGAGGGTCCCGGCCCCGCGCCCCCGTACTTTCACTTTGAGACTTGGTTGCATTTATGGTTCTTCGCCCAGTAAACCTCTCCTTTGGTACTTGGTGACATCTTGGCCTACCAGTGACTTTTTGGGGGATGGCGGAGGAGTTGAATTTTAAATTTACCTGAATACGTTAAAGGGTGTTTTTTGTTGTTTTTGTTGCCGTTGGGGACTGCTTTTAGCCCTTTGAAAAACAAAACCACCGTCTGTGGCTAACTCTTGTCAACTTTGTAGGCGCAGAAATGGTGGCAAAATGTTTGGGATTGAAATCTTAGGTTACAGTTTGGGTATGTCATGAAAGTTTTGCTCTCCCTGTTTAGCTAAGTAAGTGAACGTGAAGTGTTTGAAGAAAACCAAAAGCACCCAGGTGGATTACTGGTTGATGTATAGATACCAGCAGGCTCCTTCCCTGTGTCTTGAGGGCCGAGAAGCCCCGTGCCCAGACCTGAGGACTGGTTCTGGGTCTGCCCACCTCTTCCAGTGAGATCAGCTTCTCTCCCTTCTGTTTTTGAAACCGTAAAGAGAAAACTGGATTTCACTGTTCAGGTTTGAATTCTGGAAAAATAGGAACCCAAAGTTACCAGTTTAATGGCAGCTAGAATTTTAGTCCGTGTGTGTGTGTGGTTTTTAGGAGTGACAGTATCTTAAGAGTGTGGCTGGGAAGATGCTTGACGAATATTCTTTTGTGGATTCGTTTAAGGAGGGTTGAATTTAACATGCATTCAAACCTAAACTGCTGACTGCTAGGTAACAATCAGATGTAGTTTATTGGTATTTCCTAAAGCCACTTTGGTATGAGTTTAGAGGTGTGTGTAGGTCAGAGTGAACGGGGTGAAAAAGAACTTCTTACCAGTTGAGCAAGAAGGACTCGTGTAAGGATTAAAAAAAAAAAAGGTTTTATCAGTATTTCCTTTAGATTGATATTTATACGGTGATCATCAGGTTGGAATCTAGCACAGGTGCCTCACTTACTAGGTTACTTGGCCTTTGTGGAAGCGAATCAATTTGAAAAGGCACTAAAGCCCCTTTGGCTGGTGCTGTGAAGTCAGTATCCTATGGTTACCAGGTGATATCTACTATCTCACTTTTTCATTTTTGTCCTCACTTTTTTTTTTTTTTAAAGAGTGGGTCAGAGTTTTTAAATCTTGGGAAAAGAAGATAAATTTCCTTAATAACTTTGCCTCTCAACTATTATGTGTCTGCTAAGTTGTGTTACTTGGGAACTGTTTTTATTTTGCTTTCTCAGTATGAAAGATGTTAAGTGTTTCTCAGAAAAGATGACCAGATTTTCAGCCGTTACAGTTCTGCAGTTTCAGAGGTAGGAAAGCTGGCTTCTGCCAGTCATTCCTGTACCTAAGCAGTTACTGTCTGGTAACTGTGTCATTTGGGGAAGAACATTCCCCACCCCTAGAAAAGAAAAACAAGCACATTTGTTTTCTACTTCAAATTAGCAGTTGCTGCTGTCCTGGGAGGCTTCCCTAAGAGTTCTCGCTGAAGATTAAATTAAAAGCACTCCCGCTTTTGATCGTGGTCTGCCAAAATGGGAGAAGTCCCTATCTCTTCTGTGGTTTGCCCTGATGGGCCTCATAGCCCTCCCTTTTTTCTTGTCTCCTGACCAGGGCTTGTAAAGAGTTGACTTAGAAAGACAGCAGAGTGAATTCAGGTGGCCCAGGCAAAGATGCTTGAAAAATAACAGCCAACCATATTAGTATATGCACCATTTTTCAGTGTTTTGCAATTCATTTTTATGCCTCTCAATTCTTACTGGTACTGTTGAGACGTAGATATTATTACACCGTTTTGTAGATGTGGAGACCACGGGAGACTAACTGAACTGACCAAGGTGAAATCATATATTACGCGGCAAATTTGTGATTGGAAACTTGGTCTTTCCTGACTCCAAGATCATACTCCTACTCACCATGCAGTTTCACTGTTTGATGGTTACTTTTGCAAATATTAAAGCTTATCTCATTACAAGTTGGATTGGCCAAAGAAATGAGAAATTTATTTATTCAATCAGCAGTCCTTATTGAACTTTCATGTGCCAGGTCCTAGGGGAGGGGTTGAAGGAGGTGGATCTGAATGAGGTTACCACTTTAAATCAATGTTAGTGAAAGTTGCCAAAGCCTTTCCTTTTTTCCCCTCTAAACCCCAGTTTTATATTTTAGTAGGGGTAAAAAAATAGAAATTATAAACTGAGTAAATGTAGTAACGGTGAATAAACATAAATAAATCAGGCTGATTTGTGGCTAAACGTATCTTTCATTGAACATTTGTTGTTTCACTCAATTGAGATTAAAAGAAAAGCTTTGGACGGGGGGCCGGAACACGGATGGGCTTTGAGTTTACAGAAATTGTGATTTAAAAATGAGATTTTGGTTTGCACATTTCTGTTACAGAATTTTATCACTTTTCAACTTTTCTGGGCCATGAACTATGTAAGAAATATGTTTTACATCAGCTCCAAAAACAAGTTTCAGGAGACAGTACTAATCCTTACTACAGGTTGAGTATTCCTCATCCAAAATTCTTGGGACCACAAGTGTTTGAAATTTTGGAATATTTGCATTATGTATTTACTGGTTGAACGTCTGACATCAGAAGTTCTCCAGTGAGCATTTCCTGTGAGCATCATGTTGGCACTCAAAAAGTTTCCTATTTTGGATCATGTTGGATCGGGGATGCTCAGCCTGTGCTTATGATGTGCTGTTACGATATATTTTAAAAAGAAGCTGCTTCCAACAGTAAATTGAGTTCACAGGCCACTGGTTCATGACCCACAGTTTGAAAAATACTGAATTATATATGTCACATGTGTTGCATATTGCAGGGCCTGGTTAATTTACCATATTTTGAAGTTTTAAGATACTTTCATATTTGAAAATACAGATAATTTAGAGGAATAGCTTAAAAACCTGAAGTTTCTCCTTGTTAACATCATCCTGCCACCTCATTCCCCTTCTGTTTATCTTGCTGCTTGGATAAATAGACCTTTGCTGAGAATGCCCCATGCATCTGGATAGTGAGAAGTGTGTCTAATGGCCAGTTTGGGAACATGGGGAGCTTTTCTCAAGTGCTCTGTTCACCCCAGGGAAGCCTGTGTGCTCTGGGAGTCTGGGAAATGAAGGCAAACATAGGACAGCTGCATTGAATTGTGGCTTAAGTGCTCTTGTACTTTTTTTCTTGTTAGTGTCACATTTCCACCGGTTCTTTTCCGTTCCTTCCTTGGGAGGTGCCTGCCCAGTTACCCTGTTACCATCGCACTCGGGGGAAGGTTGGTGTGTCACAGTGTGTGTGGACAGTCAGGACATTCGAGATGTTGGGGACTTGCTGAACTGTGGAGTGTGCTCTGGTGACTGACAGCATTGGACGGCACAGGGGAGCCTGCAGAGGATGGTGCCAGGAGCCATGGGAGGCAGAGTTCAGAGCCTCAGTCCATCTCTGTCCTCAAGAGGTCTGCTGCTGGCTTTGGGGCAAGTACCCTAAGAAGGTTGTAGTGACTGAGGACACAGTGAGCAAAGGCACCTTGTTGGAAAGCATGGCATGGCTTCTGGTGGGCTTGGTGGGTCCTAGAGCTGGAGAGGCAGTGGGGTGCCTGTGGACCTGCGGAAGGCCTTGTGTCTCTAGGCAGCAGGAAGTATGCCACATTTTTGAGCAGATGAGCTCCTGTTCTTTGGGGCTTCTGCTTTCTTGGGTGTGGGGAGTGCTGGGTGCCTCTTTAGAAGGCATTACAGCACTTCAGAGGGGAGGAGGCCCAGGAATATGTGTGGGAGCCCCCATGTCAGTAGGACAGCCTAGGTGGATTTTTTTAGAGTTCACTCAACTTGGTGACTTGAAATCTCAGTGAACATTCTATAGTATCTCATTACTCCCCTTGCTCTGTGATCCTTTTTGCTGATCAATGCTAAAGAGTAGTAAGGAAAGTACTCAGTTACTGTTACTGTTTTGTTACTGTTAGTTGCCTATGTAAGTTTCAAAACAAAAAAACCCAAAAACCTATTTTCAGTACTCCATGTTCCCTATTCTCCTGTGTCACCAAAATGTAACAATGGTAAGAATTTGCTTTGCTTGAAAGTGTTCTTTTTTGAGGGGGAGGTTAGTCACAAGGTTTTTTAAAATGAGAAAAACCCAAATTTGTGGAGGAGTGCAGTCTCAGATCTGGGAGTGTTCTCAATAGCATTTCATGTAGAACCAAGTGACCTTCAAGTAGGTATTGGTCAGACTGGATTTTCTAGCTTGCCAATGGAGCATAGTGGCCCTGCAAGGAGCAGTTACGGGCAAGACGCGGCTGGCATCGTTGCTTTCCCACCCTCTTACTGACTTGGGGGGTCTTCCCGGAGC